TTTCACTTTGGGCACATATGTTAAGCGGTTAACAGTTATTTCCTCAACTGCAAAATGAGACAGTTGGGTTTGCAGGATTATATGATTCCATGATCCCAGGTCATTAAATCAGGTACATTCAAAACCCAATGGATAGTTTTAAATGACCTCTCAACTAACTGATCCCAGGTTTCCTTCACTAGTGTACCTTTGCTGAAGCTCTTGCTGGAGGCCACACACACATAGAGGGAGGGAAAAATGGAGGGAGGGAGGGAGGGAGGGGGAGAGAGAGAGAGAGAGAGAGAGAGAGAGAGAGAGAGAGAGAGAGAGAGAGAGAGAGAGAGAGAGAGAGAGAGAAATGGAGAAAGACAGGAGAAAGAGTGAGAGAAAGAGAAGAGGTGAAAGGAAGAGAGACAGAGACAGAGAGAGACACAGAGAGAGACAGTGAGACATAGAGAAGTTACAGCAGGTAACTAGAGCATAGAAGTTAGCATTTCCCAATTCTTTGCTGGGCCAGTTTTGCCTTTGTCCCCTGATGCTTGTACAAATGAAGCTGTTTCCTATAATGCCCTTCATGTTTCTCTCTATTTTGGTGGCATTTAGAATGAAATTTGATATGTCGATTGAGGGAGAATTGAGAAGGATCAAAATAATGCTACAGAAATGCTAATAGAAGAGGTTTAACTTTTCAGTTTCTCAAGTATTTGAGTGATGTGCACAGTGAAGACCTGGAGAGGGAGCATTTCAATAGCTCCTCTTTTATTGTTAGACATGAAGGAGATGCTTCTGATGGGGGCCTACAGTCAATTGTCCATCTCTGAGGTAGAATGAAGAGTGGAAAGAAGTCTGGGCTGGGAGTAAGAACACCTAATCCCCATATCTTTGCTTGGTGACTAATAGCTGTGTGACCTGGGTCTAATCATTCATTTCATCTCCATGGGTCTTGGTTTTGTTATCTAAAAGAAACTGACTAAATTTCCACATTATCATTCTCACTATCTTGTTGTCAGAGCCAAAACCAGAACTTGGTAACTTAAACAAAACACTCCTGATGTTTGGCTCTGTTTCCTAGACTTTCCCCCCAAGCTGTGCATTTCTTATTTGAAAAATATCAAATATAAATAAGGGGGGTGGATGGGAATGAATCTATTTACAAACATATTCTTCTTAGGGCCAACTATGAGAGGCAGCCTGGATAAGTAGATAGAAAGCTGATATGGAAGTCCTGCAGACCTGAGTTCAAGTGCTGTCTCTAGTACATACTAGCTATGGTGAAACCATTTAACCTCCTGTTGCCTGGAGAATCTCTATAAAGACCACAAATTGTTGAATTGGGATGGATCTGCATTGGTAAAGGGAGTTTCCTTACTGGATATTTCCTCCATCAATAAAATTACAGGTCTAGAACCCTATGCTCTCCAAATAAAGGGATAATTAAGAATCTTCAAAATCTTGAGTGCACTTAACGTTGTCTGTAATGGACCAAAACAAGTGGTTTTCACTGAAATCTCTACCAAATTTCTAAAATGTAAAATGCCATCAATGCTTCCTCATCTCTTCACTAGGCTCTTCCTGTAGTTGAATACTGAGTTTATTGGAAGCCAAGGTGAAGCATCCACATGTAAATCAGCCTCCTACATTCTAATTTCTTTCTTTCAAATTGAAGAGCTATCATTTGTACTAATGACTCAGAATGATTTTAAGTTTCTCTAAAAATTATCTAACTGAGTCATTCAGTTGCTTCATGTGGGAATCTTAATGTCCAAATGGAAAATTTACTAAGACCAAGGCAGTTAAGTGTTACTTTGAAGGGTTAAACATGGGCCTTGTGTTAGAAATGTCCTGTAAGGTGACTGATATCTATGTGCATATATTATAGCTTATATATATACAAATATATATATAAGCTATATACAAAAGATATATAGATATATAGATATAGATATAGATATAGATATACACAAAAGATATACTAAAATACGTGTGTGTGTGTGTGTATATATATATATACTAAATAGGATAACATACTAAACATACTGTACAAAGCATAATAATTATTTTTTCATAATAATTGAGTAGTGATGTTAACAACTGCTGACATTTCTGTATATTTTAACATTTTATCAATTGAGTAAGAATTTATTAAATGCCTATTTTGTTTCAGAAGCTGTGCTAGGTTCTCCTAGGACCTAGCATACTGCTCTGCCCACAGTAGGTTCTAAGAAGATGGTTAGTGGAAAAGCAAATGAACCAATCGATGAATATGTAGATGTATACAGCTCAAGGTTTTTTTTAAATTTAATCCTATAGTTAAAGTTGATGAGTTATTTCTTGATATTATTTTTTTGGAAAGAAAAGAGCTGAAAGAGCCCAAAATGCCTTAAGAAAGATGATTAAAGCCGATAACTACATGGATTTCCATGAATGGGCAACATAGCTGCCTACATTTTACTGGTAGATCATGGGTGGGTGGAGCTAAGAAAAAGACACACCTCCCACACCCTCTTAATGGTAGAGATTCCAATTTCATACTACCCCTGGCGTTAAAGGGGATGCAATAGCAAACCTTCATCTAACCAAAAGAATTCTTTCAAGGTCTTGGGCAGTCCAGGTTCTACTTGAAATGCCTGTGGATAGCAACTTAATTAAGATAAACCTTTCATTCTCCAAAATGAAGACCACTCCCTAAATAATGAATATTTTGCAATTATGATTTTTGCATAGATTTTATCAAGTCTAGTAGGTTCACAAAAGGTATGGCAGTTCAATGGATTTGGCAATGAAGCTTCATTGTTGAAATATGCTTATGGTTTAACAGTAATTAATTGCTAACTGGCCTATCTCTAGCTCTTTAAAGTTGTCAAACACTTTGCACAAGTGATCTCATTGGACCCTCAAAGCAATCCTCAGCACTATGGCCGTATTATTTTTCCCCATTTTACAAATGAGGAAACTGAAGTTCAGAGAGCCTGTGGTCATATAACTCATAAGCTTCAAACACTTATTAACTTAGGAGAAGTATTTTATATGTTAACTAATACTCATGGATTGTCTGCTTCTGATGATTTTAGATGAAAGCTAACCATAAGAGCACAATGTAGTAGGAAACTAATTAATAGGCGTTTGAATAGGGAAGGAAGGATTAGGACCAAAAACCTCTCGTATTCATTTTTTTTTTGAAAGCACTTTTCTTTTCAAGCTCAATTCAATCAACATGGCAAAGAATCTTTCTTTTTGAAATAGACTTGTTGCTAAATAATAAGATTTTCAATAATCTTTGACAAGTATGTCATAGTTTCATACATTTTTATTTGATCTTAATGGCCCTTTGAGGTGGGCATCATGATGCCCATTTTGTAGGTGAGAAAACTGAGGGTGAGAAAGATTATGTAATTAGGCTGTGGTCACACAACTAGTAAGGGTCAGAGCAGGGATATGAACTTTGGTTTCTCTCTCCAAGTTTTAGGCACATTCCTTGAGAGTGTGCTGAACCTGCCCTAGCAGCCTGAATTACATAGGATTCTAGGTAATGCAGAATGGAGGAGGTACAGTTTTTCCACTGGTGCTGATGACAACCTGCAGGGTTAATGCACAGAAGGTGTTTGTCACCCACACAAATTTGAAGGCCAAATTTATATCTGCAATGGGTCAATTGAGCATTGAAAACAGGCTTTCTGAGAGAACTTGGCTTTCTTGTTGTATTGTTAATCATTTCCGTCCCCACACCACCCCCTTCTCCCAAGGGAAGACCAAGTTGGTCATATTGACTCATAACCATGAAAGGCCTGGCCAAAAGCCACTCTTTCTACACTCCATCCCACCCACACCCAGCATTTCTCATGCTAAATCAATTAACAAGCATTTAGCAAGTCCCTACTATGTGTTGGGTGCTGGGCACAAATACAAAACCAGTCTCCATTGACAGAAGGGTTACATGTTATAGTTTCAAGCATGTTATAATAGGACATTACTCTGTTGACACTAAGGAATAAATAACCTCATGGGGACAAACCTTAATTTGTATGTGTGTAATGGACTCTCTTTTGGCAATCTAATGAAGCTTGTGAACCCTTTCTCTGAATTATTTTAATGAACAATTGAAGGAAGTGTTAAATTCAGTTAGAAAGTAGTTCAAATGAAAACGTAATTTTTTCACCTCCAAGGTCACGGACCCTTTGAAGTCCATCCACAGAGCTCAGGTTAAGAACCCCGTGCTCTTGTTTCAATACTTGCCTTGTTGAGGCCTGAACACATATGCTGAAGGATCCAGGATGAGTCAACAGTGATGGCTCGATCGTTTAATTTCATTTCTGCAGAGTTCACAAGGTTGTTATGAAAGTTATTGGCAAAACACAAACAAAAATGGGATGACCTGGCCAATTTGGTGTTTAACTTAATTTCAAGAGTCTGGATTTGGAGTCAGAAGATGGAAGCAACATGGTAGAGCGGAAAGGGCAATGGCCATGGAGTCCATTCAAATCCTGCCTCTGACATTTACTAGCTGTGTAACCTTGGGCAAGTATTAATAAGCATTTCTGAAGGGCCTACAGGGCCCAGGCAAGTCTCTTTGTCCATCTTGGACTTGAATTCCTCATCTGTAAAATGACATAATTCGGATTAGATGACCTCTAAAATCCCTTCAGATTCTATGTACATAACCTTGGTTCAAATGTCAGACCTGCTGCCCCTTGCCTTGGGTGACTTTGACATTTAGCCTTCTGAACCACTTTTCTCATCTGTAAAATGAGGGAGTAGGGTAGGGTAACCTGTAAGACCCCTCTAAACTCTAAACCTATGATTCTGTGGAAATGCATAGGGAAAATTAGGGTTTCATTGGGAAATTCATTGACTTATGAAAACAAAACTTCCAGTGACTCTGGAGCCAATCTTACAATGATCTATTGGGTGTCTTAGCTTTTTATGAGCCAAGTGTGAATACATTTTGATGTAACCTACAGTTTGGTTTCTTCTTTCTTCCTCTTTTTCTATCTTTTCTTCCTTTGTTCATTCTCTCTCTCTCCTTCTCTTTCTTTCTTTTCTTCTCTTTTTCCATAATGCTATGGAGAAGAAAAAGGACTTTGGGGACTGTTTTATACTGAGGGCTATAACACCAGTGTATGTTATCCAAACATTTTTACTAAGCAAAAGGATATTTTAAGTGTCAATGTTATCTCTTGGACACCGGCCTAATAAAGTTATTCATCTTATCTGAGAGGCCTATTAGATCCATCCTATATAACTGTGCATCACAGGAGAGTGTAAACCCCACAAAGTCAGCAAGAGAACTAGGGGCAAGTACCTTCATCAAATTAAAAGAAAAACTTCCCCGAAGAGAGAGATGAAAACAGTGGACCTCCTCAAATCATGCTTAATTTATAGCACTCTTCTACTTATCGCTTATGTGACTATAAAGCAAGTCATTTAAACTCTCTGGAACTGAGTTTTGTCATCTGCAAAAAAGATGATTGGAACAAATGACCTTTAAAATTCCTTCTATCCATGGCCTATTTCCCTTCTGCTTGCTTATTATGGTTAAACTACCACTAGATCTTTGGATGGTTGCTTGCAAATGTTCATGCCATCTTTCTGTCCTATTCTTCGGAAGGATAAACTCTCAGCTCCCCCACAAAAGACAGGCCAAGAGATGAGTATAAGAATAGTCAGAAAAATGTTAACAAGGAAGCACAATCCTCAGACTAAGTAGAGGAACCTATTTCCAAATTTAAATTATGGTTGTAAATATAAAAAAGTTCATTTATTAGTTGATGTTGCCAACGTTGAGAGCTTGGAAAACCATAATTATATTCTTTGTCAGAAGAAATTTGAGAGGTTGAGCTACAGGAAGGAAGAACAGGAGATGTGTGTGTGTGTGTGTGTGTGTGTGTGTGTGTGTGTGTGTGTGTAGGGTCAGAAAGTCAAGATAGGGGCATCTTCCCAAGTCTGGGTTCCATTCTTCTTCATCCATTGGGAGAGACTGGTAGGCTGCATCCATTGTGGGATAGAATGTTTTACAGCTTGGGATGAGTTGAAGAACCTTCCCTCTGGGTTACTGTATCTTCTCTGAGTCTTTCTTCACAGGTTGGTCCCATCCTCTGCAAGGGGCATGCACAGTTCCCATTCTGAGGGTTGCATCGGGATCCTGGGGAACACTGGCACTGCAGAGAGCAATTGGGCCCATACCGATCTGATCTGCATTCTGTAAAGTGAAGAGGAAAAACACATGAAGCAGGACTGTACAAGATGCATTTTTTGGGATTCACATTGATTTTTGTTATTGCTTCTTGGCTCTCAATGAAATAATGATAGACTCATAAAGTCAGCTGGTTAACTATGTGGTATCTTCTTCCCATCCTGGAATGTCATATAATGAAAAGGATTAGTTTTCTGGAAAAAGAGAAGGGGCTAAGAAAATCCAGGAGATCAGGGGAAAATGGGGGGAAGCAGAGGACAGGAGACTAGTTTTTATTTTAAAGAAACTTACTTAGATTTCCTGCATATCACAACAGAGAGGTCATGTGGAGGGGGTTTGGGAAACAGCAACCATCAAGAAAGCAATCAATACACATTTAATAAAAACTTCTTATGTTGGAGGCTCTGTACTAGGAAATGGAGGAACACAGATGAAGTCCTCCAGACACTTACATTCTATTGTGGAGACAACATTTATACGTATAAGAGTACGGAAAATTTAAGGGACAGAGACTGGACCTAGGTTACATTAGCAGAAGGAGGTCTTGAGTGAGAAATCTCCCTGTCCCCAAGCATGTTGGCACTTTCTATGAGTTTTGTAATCATAGAGAGATGCTTGGCATAGTGAAAGGCTATGTTATTTTGCCATAGTCATATAACCAGTAAGTCTCAGAGGTGGGAACCTGAATTTTCCTGGTTCTGAGGCTAGTCATGCTGCCTATGTCTATACAGGCAATATCTACAAAATGACGGTGATGCAATTTTGGGAGGAGCTCCAGTAGGGACAATTAGGTGGTGCAGGGTCTCGAGTGCTGGGCCTGGAGTTAGGAAGAATAAAAGGTCAAGAATATCAAAGTAACCAATGAAAAAATGTAAAGGAAGGAGGTTCAGCAATATCAGATCTTAAACTCTATTACAAGGCAGTAATTATCAAAACTATCTGGTACCAGCTAAGAAACAGAAAGGTAAATCAAAGGAACAGAACAGATATACTATTTATAATAACAAATAAATATGGGAACTTTGTATTTGACAAATGTAAAGGTTTAAGATTTTGGGATCAGAATTCATTATTTGTTAAAAATTGTTGGGAAAACTAGAAAGAAGTGTGGCAGAAATTGGGCATAGACCAATATCTTATATCATTTATCAAAGTAATGTTAAAATGAATACATGATCTAGATATAAAGTGAGATTTTATATGAAAATTTAAGGCCATTGGGACTTATGGATAGGATACAATTTATAAATAAACAAGAGATAGCAGAGTGACATGTAAACTGGATAATTTTCATTACATTAAATTTTAAAAGGTTTTGTACAAATTAAGCAAATTTAGCCAAGATCAAGAAGGAAAGCAGCAAATTGGGTAAAAAAAAATTATAGACAGTTTCTCAAATAAAGGTTTCATACCTTAAATATACAAGGATTTTTGTAAAATCTGCAAAAGTACAAATTATTTCTTAATTGGTAAATAATATAAGGATATGAACAAGCAGTTTTCCAGTGAAGAAATCTGAGTAGGTTATAGCCATAGGAAAAAAAATCATTATTGCCCTCGTCCATGGCTCTTCACCCTCAGTTTGCTCATTGATAAAAAGAGGGCTGGACAAAATGGCATCCAGGGTGCCTTCTAGCTGTGATCTTGGTCACCTCTGGCTTCTTCATCATGGTGTGAAGGTGACCCTGGAGGTGAGAGACTCCACTTATGGAGAGACAAGTCTGGAAAGTCTGCCTGAGCTAGAAAGCCTTGAGGGCAGGCCTGGAGACAGACAGACAGACAGACAGACCATATGGGAGTTCTCTGGGGACCAGCCTGGCCAATGGCCCACAATGAAGTTTTTCCCACAGCTATTCTCCAAGGCTGTCTCCTGAGCTGAAGAGAGTTTGGTGGGAGGCGTCCCCATGCCTGGAGAAATCACAGAACCTTGAGGTGCTAAAATCCATGGGTGAAGAATTAGGCAGACCACAGTTTAACTTTGCCCTTAAATTTTTCTAAGAACCCGCAGATCCCCACAAAGGTTAGCTGGTAGGACACATTGCCTCCACTAGACTCCAAGGCTTTTCATGTGGTCCAACTGAGTTCTTACAGATTTATTTGAAATGGACTAAATTATGTGTTTGACCATCAGGGATAGGATACAGGACACCAGGCACTGGTTCAATGACAGGAACAACAATAGAGGAAACCCCCATATTCCCCCACAGCCTGGGGTGTTTGCCCTGGCTGAAGAAACCATTCCCAGCCACTCTGGCTGTGGCGGTGATACCTGAGCAGTACATTGACAGGTTCGGTTTCCCAGTGTTGTGGGGATGGGCCAGGCTCCCAACCCACAAGAAGTAAGGAGTGGGCTGCCTCCCTAACCAACCTTTGCGGCTGGGGATTCTGGGATCTCATAGGTATGTTGAAGGCTCTCCAGCCCAGAGCAATCTCTGACCTAGCACATTCAGCAAGTAAGCATCCTTCCTTGGCTTAAAGACCTCCAGTTAGGGAAGGGCAATCTCTTTTAAAGTCACCCATTCTGTTCTTGGGCAATAAGTCATTGCTAAGAAATTTTCCCTAACATTTTGCCTAAATTTACTTCTTGTATTTTTCTTTCTGCTTTCTGGGGGTCCACCTTCCTCTGTAGGACTGCCCTTCAAACAACTGAACATGGCTCTCATGTGCCCACTGAATCTCTTCTTCTCCAACAAACTCATGCCCAGTTATTTCAACTGGTCTTCTTGGTAGGGATTCCTGGGCCCTTCATCATCCTGGTAGCTCTCCTCCAGTCCCTTTCCAATTCATCTGCATCTTACCCAAACTTTGGTGCCCAGAACAGTGCACCAGATGGGGTCTGATGGGGGCAGCATACAGAGAGAAGGTCACTTCCTTTTGATTGGACTCTGCTTCTCTTAATGTGACTCAAGATCATATCACCTTTTTGTTGGCTACCTCTTCACATCACTGACTCATGGTGATCTGGTGGTCCACTATGTTCCCCACCCAACCCCGACCTTTTTTCGGATAAACTTTAGAGCATTATACAAATGCTAGCTTTAATTAGTATGATCATTATTAGAATCATGTTCTTGATTCTGTCATCTAGCATGTCAACTCTCCCTCCAAAGATTCTGGGTCTTGGAGGATGTAGGTAGCAAGGCATCTGCCCTATCTGAGTGGACATTCAAAATAAATGAGTGGAAATGTGTGATTATTAATTTAAGGAGGAAAGACTAGAAAGACAGATAAGACTTGGGTGTGTGAATCAGACAAAGATTAAAAGTTATTAGTAGCATTTCAAGCTTGGAATAGCCCTCAAAACCATCTGGTGCAACCTTCTTATTTTACAAAAGAGGTAACCTAGCTCTGGAAGGCTTAAATGAGTTGGCCATGGTCCCCTAGACTCCTATCTAGGAATCCAGTGAGGCCAGTATCCTTTCCACTATGCAACACATAAGTTTGCCAAGAGGCTCATAGAAGTCCACTTATCTTTCATCCTGGTATGAAAGAAGGAGACCTCCAGTTAGGGAAGGGGGCAATCTCTTTTAAAGTCACCCATTCTGCTTTTGAGCAATGTCATTGCTAGGAAGTTTTCACTAACATTTTGCCTAGATTTACCTCTTGTAAGTTCTTCTTTCATCAGCCCCCAAACAGACAGTGACTACTGGAGTGCTAGCTAGTAATCCAACTTATCTGCTACTTCTCCTGTCTTAATATTAACTAGTATGGTCTTATAAAATGTAAGCTCCTCGAGGTCAGGGATAGCTTTGTAGTTGTTTTTGTCCTTGTGACCCTGGGGGGTACTTCAGTGTCAAGTATATAATAAATGCTTGTTGGATTGGGTGTTCTGCCTCCTGGTCCCATAAACATGGTAGTTATATTAAGCAATACCAATTAAGCAATACCATTAACAGAATCCTAGAAATGGGTAGGGTCATGGGCTCATAGATTTGAAGGTAGGGTACCATGGCCATGGGGCTAAGACTGGTCATCTGGTCCAACTCTTCCACTTTTATAGATAAAGAAACTGAGGCCAGGAGAAGAGAAATGACAAAGAGAAGCTTATGTGAAAATGAAGAAGCTAGGATTTGAACCCAGGTCCTTGGACTTAAAATCAATGGCTCTGTCCACCACACTCTACTTGATTCAAGAAACATCTTTCGAGTGGTCCTTCTGTGCAGCGTAAGTTGGCAAAAGAGCCCTAACTGGTCCCTGGCATTGTTGTTCCCAAAGTCATCAGACAGTCACATTTAGCCTTTCCCAGTTGAAGAAATAACCTTGGCGAGTAAGGAGGGCATTAGGCACTATAAAGGCTGCTCTGAAAGTTTGGTCAGTGGCAGGAGTCTTTTCTTTAAACCACATGAACCATTGAATAAATACCAAATATTTTTCTGTGTCATTTCAAATTCAAGCCAACACACCCACCCCTGCTGTGGAGGAGGGGGAGGAAAGGAGGCAAGGGGCGGGGAGGAAGGAAGAGGGGAATTCTTCAGCTGGGTCTGGGGCCTTAGACTTTCCCATGGTTTTTTTTTTGTTTTTTTTTAGTGTTACAAGGCAAGATCTCTCCTCTAAATCCAGAGCCTGATTCTAATTTCTGGGATACCACATTTTCATGTTAATAACAACGTGTATTTAAGACATCTGTTTGAAAGCCTGCAAATGTTCATTTACCAAGTAGGGGAAAATAGTCCAATAAAAACTCATTATATTCTTTTTTGAATTAACATTATGGCTATTTAATGGGTCCTTTACCAGGGTTCAAATTAAAATTAGGTCTTTTATCTTTATAGCTCCTGCATAGTCACAGCTGCTCACAGTTAATATCACAGATGAACTGAGCCTAATTGAAAATAAAAATGCAAATAAAACAGGCCTTGTAACAAGTTTGTGTGGACCAGGGTGCCCCCCAGTGAGCTTAGGACAAGACATGGGCTCTCTTGTTACCCAACAGCAGTGGACACTTTGCTTCTGAGGTCTGGCCGCTCAGGAACTTTTGTTTGTAAACTCTTCGAGGGGCCAGAGAGTTAGGGGCTCTAACTTGGTAGGGATTCTGGAAGGACCTGACTTTCCATGAAGCACACAATATCTCTGTTTTCTAGTGCCTATTTCAAGAGAAATGGACAAGAGAAAACCTTTCCTTTCCCCCTTTCTGGCACTTGAGTAAGTCTCATGATTTGTAAGTTCTCTGACTTGGAATAATTATTCCATTGAATCACTGAATTTTAGGGTTATGGAAGGGATTTGGGGGCTCATATAGAGCAACACATACTCCCAAAAGAAACTGATTTACAGTTTCTTTAGCCAATCAGTGGTCACCATCTAAACTTTTCTTGAAGGCCTCTCGTGAAGGGGAACCCACTTTCTTCTGAGGCAGTCCACTTTTGGTAAACTCTGATTGTATGTAGCCATTCACACTGGGTCCATGCTGGACTTGGATATCATGAAGGGCTTAGAGACTTTAATCTGAGTATGTTTAGAACCCGAGTATATGACAAAGTTCAGGCATCCCCTTCTCTCAGACTCCATAGACTCTGGACTCAGCCCTACACCATGGGCAGCTGAGACAAGAAGCTGGTCTATGTCCTAATGAAGAAGGAATGAAGAAAAGTTAAGAAAACTGGTAAGTATGGGAGCCAGAGGAGACTACTCATTCTGGCTGGGTGCACAGAAAGGAAGTCAATACCACTGACCTTCTGATCATTCTTGTAGGGAGCTAGTGAGCTGGCTGGCAGACCTATTCTCTTGTAAGTAGAATCTCTGATTTTTTTTCATGGCTAAAAATCACGTTTAGATACAACAAGCCTCTCTCAACCATCTGATCTAGAACACCCAGGAAGTCTACATTTTATGGTAAAAATATCTTTCTTCAAGTCATCTCTGGATCATACAGAGGTTTAGAGCTAGAAAGGGTCTTAAAGGCTATCTAGACCAAAGGTCTCATTATCTACATAAGAGGAAACTGAGGTACTGAAAGTTGAAGTAATTTGTTCAAGGTCACAGGAAATATCTGGCAAAGCAAGAATTTGAGCCCATGTCCTCTGAGTTTAGACCCATTATTCTTTGCATGGTACCACACTACTGTCATTTTAAGGTTAGAAGTGAGTTATTTATCTACTCAGTGTCAGGGAATATGACCCTGTCTCTTTTGATTGCCCTATCCCGATGATATTGAGAATAATAATTGTTCATTATTCTATGACATTTTAAGGTCTGCAAGAAAGGCTCTTTGTCATCATATCCCTGTGATGACAACATATTGCCAAATTTTCCAGGCCCCATTTAGAGTACCTGTGAAAGGGGGCTCTAGAAGGACCCCACAATTCAATGAACCAAGACTTGGAGATATTTGAGGTACTTTAACCATTGTGACATTGGCCTGAATAAGGGATCCTGTCATGAAAATATCTGACAGCCCTCCACTTTTCCTCCTAGTGAGAGGACCCAATACCTCCCTCATGTGAATGGAACCACATAAAAAGTACTTCTTAACCATACCAACATCACACCTGTCTCCAGTTCTTCCAGGGGAACAAAGGCACTTCCCAGTGACAGGATGGCAGGGTCCCACTCCTTCACAGTCACAAAGCTGTTGGCACCTGTCTCCGAATGTTCCAGGTGGGCACCCTACCAACGGTAGAGAAAGAAAAGTATTTTTCAAAGAACAGCATTTCTGAAGACTTTTTCTTTTTTGTCTCAGATTTACGATTTCATCATATGAGGAACTCCTGGTATGGGAATTACTTTTACCAATACAGAGTTGAAACTCCTTAATCATTATTTTTTGAGGCAATCAGAGTTAAGTTACTTGTCCAGAGTTAAGTTACTTGTTACACTGCTAGGAAGAGTCTACAGAAGAATTTGAACTCAAGTCCTCTTGATTTGAGGGTCAATTGCTCTATCCACTGTAGTGCCACCTAGCTGCCCCTCTATTTTTACTTATTAAAGAGTTCCTTGGGACACTGAGAGATTAAATGGCTTTCCCAGAGACACATAGTTAGTGTGTGTATCAAGAGCAAGATCTTCACCCAGAGTTTCTATCCGTTAAACCACACTGTATTTGAACCAGGGATGAGACTGAACCAAGGTCCTGATTCCAAATCATATATACACTATATGCACACTTATGTATATGCATGTATGTACATATGCACATATTTGTCTATTAATATACAGAAGCATTATATGCATATTTGTTCTTTAATTTTTTGTTGTCATTCTCAGATGAAGAGATTTTTATAAATAAACAGAACTTTTGTCATAAATACTTAAATATATTTTGCTCACGGGCCATATCCCATGCCTGGAATGTACTTCCCCCTACCTTACTTCTCCATCATAGAATCCTTCTCTTCTTTAAGGTATAGTTCAAGCATCACCTTCTACATTAACGTTTTCCTTATCTTCCAACGGCTTCCTTTCCTTATGCTTCCAACTATCCTCCCTTCCTGATTATTTCATATATAGCTGCCTTGTTTTTATTTTAAATATATTTATTCTGTACATACTTACATAAGCACATTTCTCCTCCTGATGGAATGTAAGCTCCTTGAGGTCAAGGACTGTTTAAATTTTAGTTTTTTTCCAGTGCTTGGTGTATGGTGAGTGCTTAGTGAATGCTTCTTGACTGACTGATTAGTTGATAAATACTGAAATACACTTGGGCTCTACCTTTTTCACACTGGCTGCCATGGTAACCTGGGGGACAGATGCATGTGCCATTCTCAGCATCACACGTGGCTCCATGTCTGCAATCACAAGGGTGAGCACAGTCTGAGCCATAAAATCCAGGGGGACATTCTGTGGAATGGAAATGGCAATATGTGATTTTGACCTTTTTAAAGAGGAAAAACAAAGTTAAATAATCCATTCTAGGTTTGCTGTGTCCCAGGGCCAAGCCCAGAAAGGCAGATCAGTTTAGTAAGGAGGCAGAGAAAGGAGGAACATGCATTTATTCAGTTCTTACTACATGCTAGCTGCTTTACAAGTAATATCTCATTTGATCTTAGTAAACTAAGCCAGTGAATTAAAATGAAGAAATTTATAAGAGTCTGATGAAAACAATTTGGTTTTTAAAGTAAATATGTATGCATTAATCCCAGTAATTAAACTGGAAAAAAAAAAGGAAATTTTTATCCTTTTTCAATCATCATCATCATCATCATCATCATAAGTAGCATTTATAAAGCACATTAGGATTTACAAAGTGTTTTACAAATATTATCTCATTTGATTCTCATAACAACCTAGGGAAATAGGTGCTATTAGTATCCCTATTTTACAGATGAGGCAACTGAGGCCAGGAGAGGTGAAGTGGATTTCCCCAAGTCAGGCAGCTAGTTAGTGTCTGAGGCAGGAGCTGAACCCAGGTGTCCTTGATTTCAAGTCCAACGCTAGCCACTGCACCACCACTGTTTATCTTTGAAAATCCTTTGCAACTTGCCCCTGATCTATCTGTTCAGCCTCATTGGATATTACTTCCCCTTTTGTATTTTGTGATACAACCAAACTGGTCTTCTCTAAAATTCTTCACTTACCACACTCCATCTCCCACCTCTATGTCTTTGCATTGACAGTTCCCCATGCCTAGAATGCAGTCCCTTCTTACCTTTGCCTCAGAGAATCCTCCTCTTCCTTTAATAAACAACCCAAATACTATCTTCTGGATGAAGTCTTTCTTTATTCCCTCAAATGGTAATGCCTGCCCTCCCTCTGAAACTACCTTACATTCAACTACTTTGTATATGTTAGTATTTTTAAACTTTCTATTAATTCTATCATGTATATAAATACATACATACACACATAGATGCATATGTACATACACACACATTCTTGTTATCTCCTCCACTATAATGTAATCTTCTTGCAAGTAGGGATTATTTCATTCATTATATTTACTATGTGACAGTGCCTGGCACATAGTAGGTGCTTAATAAATGTTGAATTTGTACCCACATTGCCTAGCCCAGTGCTTGCCACATTAATAAATGTTTGTGGAAAAACTGATTGATTCTCTCATTCTAAATCGGTCCTAAACACTACCTGTGGATTCATCTTTCCAAAACACAATTTTGATTGCTCCACTTCTCTACTCAGAAACTTTGAATGGTCTACAGGCTAAAGACCAGCTGTTTCTGCTTGGGATTCAAGTCTCAGCCTATCCTGCCTATACCCGCTGAAAACATATAATTTGATCTTCCTCAAGTGACTAGATTAGATCATAGAGCACGTGTTGTAGATGAAAGATTCCTGGACGTGGAGGCAGAGGACTTAGGTTTGAATTCCAGGTCTGGGTGGTATTTCCTTATCTGTAAAACGTGAGTTGGTTTAAACGATCTCTAATGTTGCTTCCAGCTCTTAAATCATAATTTTGAGATGTTAATTGATTTACACATTCCCTATCATTCTCAAATGTTTTATCTCATAAAAATTACTGACCCAGGATCCCAGGATCCCAAATTTAGCATCTGTTTTTCAACTAAAACTTTGTCAAATGGTCCAAAAATTGAAAAACAAGCTGTAAAAACAAGTTGTGCATAGTAGATTCATGTTCCATGCGCAATCATCTTTTTTTTTTATTTTACTATGTTATGGAAATGCTTGTTTTATTCCATAAATTAAAAATCAAATACATTTATCATCATCATCATTTTTTTAAGTTGTAGCTCTCTTTTTCCCTTTTCATGCCTTATTTTTTTTCTTCTGTCCTAGGATAGCAGAATCACCATTTACAAGTTAAGAGTGTACAAAGAGGGTCTCTAGTATGACTCTCTTGTTTATAGATGAAACTAAAGTCTAGAGAGTTTAAATGGCTTCTACATTTAAACCCAGATCCCCTAACTCCTGATCCTGTTCACTTCCCACCTCAAAACATTCCCTCTCCCTTATCCTTTTCTTTTCTACAGTGTTTATTCTTTCTTCTTTGGGCACTAAAGGTCATCCTTTTTTAGATTCATACTTTGCTGTTATTAGTTTGCCTAAACCTGTGCTATGATTGGCTTGTAGAAGTCTTCCATGGGGACTCCCCCCAGTGAGGAAGATAAGCGACCCTTTGTTAACTTGGTCTCTTGGGGAGTAGTTAAACGATTCACCCTTGGTCACACAGCTGTATACGTCAGAGGCTGGTCTTGGGCCAAGGGTGTCCTGACACTATAGCTGTCCCTGTATTGGCAGTACTGCAAGGCCTCTCATTAATGCTTCATAGAGTTTCATTATCTATTGTAAGATTTCATAAGAAAGGATGTTTGCCTTTTGAGGTTAGTTGTCAACCTGTTGGACAGATAAGGGAAGAGGAACTGGGTATAAGCTACGTTTTATCTCATGGTTATAAAGTGCTTATGGTTAAAGTGCTTTATCTTATGGTTATTAAGAATATATATGGTTATATATATTCACATACGATAATAACAGCTAGTACTTATATGGCATTTTAAGGTTTGCAAAGCACTTCCCCTATGTTATTTCATTTTAAAACCACCCAAGTCCCCTCTACAGTGGGAACTCCGGTGATGGCGTTATCTTAAGAGCTCTGCATAATGCCCTGGATCACCCTCTCCCAAAACTAATTGGCAACAGTGAAACGGTGACAGAAATTAGAAATAATGTGTTTTGGCTTCTGTCTGGGGATATAATCAGAAATCAGACTGCTGAGAAGAATCTTGAATTAATTCATTCATGAAGCCTTTATTGAGCACTCAGTATATGCCAGACCCTGGCAAAACAGAGATGAAAATAAAACTATTCTTGTCCTCAGGGAGCTTACACTCTGATGGGGGGAAAATGAACACCAATAGGTATAGAGATTAAACTGGTGATTTTTCATACGGACATCTTTCAGATAGGGAGATTACTTCTAAAAATGCAGGTTTGCCCCTATTCTACAGCTTGTAGCCTTAGGGAGCTGCCTAGAGCCCTGGAAAGTGGTTACTTGAGCAGAGTCACTGACAGAGCCAGTGTGTGTCAGAGTGGAACTTGAACCAGGGCATCCTAGGCTCAGGGCTGTTTATGTACTCTGCCACACTTCTTATCTTCTATAGGAATAAGGGAGTACAAATATATACAAAATAAATGAGAGGACATATGATATGGAGAGCCCTCTCCAAGTTGGGAGGACATGATTTCAAATTGCATCTCTGACATTTTCTGACCATGTCACCCTGGATAACTCTTTTAATCTCTGAAGAAGAGGAAGTAGACTCCAAGAGTGCCTGAGGCCCCACGAGGGAAAATACCATGAAAATTTTTATTGGTGTGGCCAAAGTAATATTTTCCCTCTGACATTGCCTTCCATCTCCTCCGTATAGAACTTATATGCCCGTAATTATTCGTATGCTGCCTCCTCATTCTAATGTGGACTCCGTGGGGAGAAAGAACTGTTGTTTTTCCCTTTCTTTGTATCCCCCTTGTGCCTGGACGGTGCCTGACACATGATAAGCGCTTAATAAAATGCTTGTTGACTAAGTTCTAGTGGACTAGATCAGTTGTTTCTGCACTGTGATTGACCTTTGAAGGGACGGTAAGGCCTGACAGCCTTGTTTCAAGAAAGACGATTACAGTTAGAACAGAGTTCTGTCTTTCATCCTGCTGGCTGAGAACCCATGTCTTTACATGATGATATTGATATAATTCATCATAATGGCTAGGGTAGAAACCATAAATGCTTTGGAGAACCATGTTTCCTCTGACTCAGAGAAGAAACTTGGCTAGAACACGGGGCTGCTTAGGTTTCTATCAACCTATTTCACTTGATTATGTTGCATATTATGTACTGGATATGAATCAATAAATTACAGTTACTTTAGTATTTCATTCTCTCCTAACCTCACCTCTGAATCTGGAGACTGATTTTTTTTTTTTTGCCAATGTATTCAAACGTCTTTCTTCTCTAAGCAGTTGTCCTCAACAATCCTGAACTGCTGAAGGCTCCCGAAAGTAGATAAAATAATAGCAATTAAGTTTAGTGGAAATCCACTGGCCACAAACAACAGCTCAAGTGTCTACCCGCCATTCATCCCTTTTCAAAGGCTATTATTGAGTGTTCAGGAGAATGGACTCTTCTCAATGTAGCTTCTCAGAATCTTTGTTTTGCCTCTAGGTTCATCTCAGGGGTCATCTCTTCTGCAGAGCCATCTCTGGTCAGGAAACAGTATGAAATAGTGAGCAAAGAACTCTGGCTCTGGAGGGCAGAAGTCTGGGTTCAAATCTAACACTCTACGCTGGCTGTGTGATCCTGGACAGATTGCCTCAGTTACCTCCTATGTAAAGTAGGAAAAATAATAGCACCTACCTCATACGGTTACTATGAGGATGAAATGGAATAGTAGATTCAGGGAGCTTTTGCAAACCTTAAAGCACCTTAATTGTCGGTGCTTTATCTCTCCTCCATTTACCTTATATTCACTTACCTTTGTATGTGTTGTAGCTGTGTCTCCCTGCCCCTTCCTCTCCATGGCCCAAAAGAATTGAAGTCATTTAAAGCCTGGGACTAATTTTTTATTTAATCTCTGTATTCTCTAGTGTACAACACAATGCTTTGCACACAATAAACATTTATATGTATATAACACAATTATGTATAATACGTAACATAATGCACCATATTATATACACATGCATGTATACACACACATATGTGTGTATGTTTGTATATATATATATATATATATACATTATATATATATATATATATATATATATATATATATATAAATTTATATAAAATGAAATCAAATTGAGTGCTAGGTTACGGTGCCCACCAGATTTTATTTCTCCCAGAGCAAATTATTTAATACTTTTCCCCTATCCAAATTAGCAATAAAACACACCTCTAGAAAAAGGAGAATAACATGAATGTTGCTGTTGTTCAGTCACGTTCAACTTTTTATGATTCCATTTGGGGTTTTCTTGACAAAGTTACTGAAGTGGTTTGCCATTTCCTTCTCCAACTCATTTTACAGATGAGGAACCCAGGCAAATTTAAGTGACTTGTCCAGGGTCACACATCTAGAAAGTGTCTGCAGCCAGATTTGAACTCGTGAAGATGAGTCTTCCTGACTGCAGTCCTGGTGCTCAATCCATTAAGGTGCCACCTAGCTGCCCGACAATTGCATAAACAAATATTACAAATGAGAGCCCGCCAACACGGCTTCCTGCCTGGGCCAATTCTACATCAATCTTCTCTCGCTGCAGATGACAACCATCACATTCAAACTCTAACACTCCAGCACCCACTGCCATAAAAAGGAAATAGAAATGGTCCTTAGGAGAATTAGGTTGGGAAGACTGGCTGGGCCAGACCTCATAGACACAGAAGAAATATGTATTGGAAATTCTTTATTGAAAGCACTGAGAAGGCAATTTTCAAAGATGTCTTTAAGAGGGGAAAATATAGGGGGCAGCTAGGTGCTGCAATGGATACAGCACTGTCCCTGGAGTCAGGAGGACCTGAGTTCAAATCCAGCTTCAGTCACTTGACACTTACTAGCTGTGTGACCCTGGGCAAGTTGCTTAACCCCATTGTCTAGCAAGAAAGAAAGGAAGAAAGAAAGAAAGGAAGAAAGAAAGAAAGAAAGAAAGAAAGAAAGAAAGAAAGAAGAAGAAGAAGAAAGAAGAAAGAAAAAGAAAGAAAGAAAGAAGGAAAGAAAGAAAGAAAGAAAGAAGGAAAGAAAGAAGGAAAGAAAGAAAGAAAGAAAGAAGGAAAGAAGGAAAGAAAGAAAGAAGGAAAGAAAGAAAGAAAGAAGGAAAGGAAGGAAGAAAGAAGAAAAGAAAAAAGGAGGGGAAAATATTGAATAACTTGAAAAAATCACTGATGGCATTATTATATGATGCAATGAATGAAATATAATTGAACCTGTACCATGTCTGAGCATGACTTCAGGGCAGCCAGAGGGAGGGGGAGGAACTCTACAATTAGTACCTGTCTGAAAATAACGTAGGACCATGGGGCTGGCTTCTAGACAGTTATGCTAAAAATGATGAATTAGACTGGATATTCTGGACTATACACACACACACATGTATATGTGTGTGTGTGTGTGTGTGTGCATGTATATATGTATATGTATGTATATGTATGTATGTATATGTATGTATACACACATACACACACACATATACTTTCTCTCTTTGCTTGTACTTCTAAATGACACCAATATACACATCTGTAGTCTCTACTTACGATGTTCACAGCTGTGCCCATAGTAACCTTCTGGACACTGACAGAAGCCAGTAAACCTACTGCAAGTTCCGTTGTTCTGACAAGAGCACTTCAAAAGGCAGCTTGGACCATATGCACCAGGAAGGCATGCTGTAAAGGAGAAGACATCCAAAAATTAGTACTTCTTGTTTAATTAAAAATATGCTAACTCCTTGGGTTATTTCAGGATGAAGACTTTTTAAAAGTGACATTTGAAATGATGCCCAAAGCTGAAACTTCCATTAGACAAATAACCTGAAGAGCATACACTAGGGAAAATGAAAGCATGAATGTGGGTGATTCTGGGTCACATAATCCCAACGTTGGAAGGGAACTCAGAGTCCATCTAGTCAAACTCAATCTCGAAGAATTCCCTTCTATAACTTACCAGCCACGTCATTACCCAGTCTTCATTTGAAAACTTCCAGTAAGGGAGAGAGGACCTGCCTGTTCTCCTCAGAAGGGGCCAGTTCTACTTTTAGACCATTATAATTATCCCAGAGTTTTTCTTTACATCAAGAATGTTTGCTCTCATTGATATAAGTATTCTCTCCAATGGGGCAGATAAAAATCTAGTAATGCCTTCTCATTTTATCTAACTTTGGTCCATGTACTTCCTGACATTCTGCACATATGATCTGTCATAAAGCCTGGAACCCTCAATGACTTTTAACAAAGGATCCATAGATAACTTTCAGGAGGACCTGAGAGCTTGAATGAGAAAAATATTACATCTTTATTTTAAATAATCTCTAAATTGAAATGCAACTTTTTCTTTAGCAATGAATGTAGGCACAGGCATTTTTTTGAGAACAGGTCCCTAGGCTTCATCAAATTGCCAAAGTGTCCACGACAATAAAAGGTTAAGAATTCAGGTCCAGTAATGGCTGAACAAGTTGGGGTATATGATCATGATATAATACCACTATGCTATAAGAAACGATGAGCTCAATGATTTTAGAAAAAAACATGGAAAGACTTACATGAAATAATGAAGAGCAAAATGAGCAGAACCAAGAGAATGTTGTATACGGTTTAATACCAACATTGTTTTAAGAACAGCTTTGAGCAACTAAGTCATGTTGACTGTTATAAATACTCAAATTAACTACAAAGGACATACGAAGGAAAACATTATCTGCATCCAGAGAAAGAACTGAAAAAATAGATGTATAGAATGATTTTCCATACATATATATATATATGTGTGTGTGTGTGTGTGTACACACATGTGCACATACATATATGTTTATATATACATATATAAGAGTATATGTATACACACATACACACACTTGTGTCTAATGGTAGCCATGTATAGGGAAGGGGGGAGAGAAGAAACAAAAAGGAAAAAAAGAAATTTACATGATAAATATTATATATTTAAAAGGAATAGCAATTTATATGTAATAAATTTGTAGTTTCATGAGCAATCATCTTTTTTATTCTACTGTGTCATGGAAATGCTTGATTTATTTCATAAATTAAAAATAAAATAAACAAAATTTTTAAAAATTCCTGGTGCAGATCCTGTGCGATTTTATGGGTAAGAGGGCAGCACTTGTGTTATCCTCTTGTCTCTTGACATGGCTATGGGATTCACTCATGCCCCTTTCTGATCATACATTTCCTGGATCATATCCCTTGTTTCAGCTCTTGCATGTAGGTCACTGTCAGACTTAAGCTATAGATGACTCATGTCTTCCCGGTATCTCTCCATTACCTATTGGGTCACCCAAAATTTAAGCGTTTGATGATTAGCATATTCTGTGGCTCACAGTTATTCAGCATTCCTGGTACCATAGGAACATTTAAAAGATTATTTTCTTGTTGTCTGGGAGTGACTTGGACGTGTCAAAACTTCTGTGAAACTTCTCAGATGAAATACAAGCCACTCTCTTAATTTTATTAAATTCTGGTCTTGACTCGTTGACGGTTGTCTTAATTACCTGTTCAAAATATATTGACTAATGTATCTAACTTCATGCCATAATCTAGGCAGCAAGGATTATAAATCATTATTTTTCTTCATGTTTTGATATACATCCATCTCTTGTGTGCAGTCATGAATCTCATTTAGGGTATCTCGTGGTAGTCAGTCAGTCATTTAGCAATTACTAAACTCCTACTTTGTGCCAGGCTCTGTACTAAGAGTCAGAGATGCAAAAAAGTGCAAAAATTATTCCTGTCACTCAAGAAGCTTACAATCTAATGGGGAAGACAAAATGCAAACAATTGTGTATAAACTATGGATATAGCATGATTATGTACCAAGATACATATCTATATCTATCTATACATATATAATAGAAATCATATATGTGAAATCATATGTGTGTATGTACACATGCAATGCCATCCACAAAATGGAACATTTTAGGATATCACTGCGTATAAGTAATCTCTCTTCCTGCCTCTTCCATTTGGAATTTTCCTGGATTTCCTCCATGATATAAACAAACAATATCAATGATCATATGTCTCCATGTTTTATAACTCACTTGATTCTGGCAATGTAAAGGCATGAAAGTCATTAATTGAAATTACCTCTGAAATTGAATAATCAAGGAATCTATTATAATCTCATTATGTGCATGGGAAGGAGAATCATCAAGACGGTTATTTGCTTTATTCAGTCAATTTCCCTCCCCGTACTTAACAAACAGTACAGCGGGATCTTGTATTCTCCATACCTTTTAGCCAATTGTGACTCTATAAAAATAGCACCTATTCTAGAAAATTATCCATCTGTTCTCTTCTCACATTTTAACCAAAGATTCTCTAGAAAAATATGCACACAATTTTCATGAATATTTTATAAACATCAGAAAAGGAAAGTAAGCATATGGGTTAATAGTTGCTCATGTCCTCTCAAGCAATTTTTCTTTTCTTTGGAGGGGATAATAATACTCAGTATTTTTTTCTAGTTTAATATTTTATTTCTTTGAGACATCTGGAAAACTGATCTTTCAATGTTTTTGTAATCTGAGGGCAGAAAATTTCATAACCAATCTCTACCAATGAGGAGAGTTTTATGTAAATGGACTTTGGGTTGTTATTATACTTTTAATATATGTATACATACAATGCCATACAGTGCTTCTTTAAATATTGTGCTTTGACCATAGACATCTTCTCCATGTATAGTTTTTCTCCCAATGACCTTCTTAGGCATCATTTATATTTCCTCATCAGGCCACTGGTCCTGAGATGGTCCATATGTGAAGGTTCTACTTTTATCAATGGCAAATATATGTTTTCTTGCTGTTTGTTATCTTTTCCCCAGGTCCAGGTTGTACAGTCTCTTGAGATGACCTCACTTAGGTGTAATATTATTAACCTACAAAATACACCCAAATGCCCCACTTTCCCCAGCTGCCTAACCAGAAACCAGTTAACAATCACAACTGTGTTAGCCCAAGAAGGAGTGAATGCTGGGTTGAAAAGAAGCATCATGAAAAAGTTAGAGAACATCAGATATGGAATGAATGATTTGGTCTAACTCTCTTCTTTTACAGATCATGAAATTGAGACCGAGATGGATTAGGTGACTTGCCCGTAGACATATGATGAAGAGCAGAGCTTGGATTAGAACCCAGATCTGACTCCCAGGAGTCATCTTTCCACTCCAATTTCTACAGGTTTCTTAACAATAACACTGAATGATGTAGAGAGAAACAGAAAGGGAAGACAATAGAGTACAAGGGATAGCATGGAACTCAGGATTCAGAGTTAAAGGCTACAGAATCAAAACCCACCTCTGTCTCTTGTTGCCTGGAGATTGAGGGTTAAACACTGCTAGGCTTTTCTAGACCTTTATTTCCTCATCTGTAAAATGAGAGTCTTAGACAAGGTAACCTCTAAGAATTCTTGCAACTTTAAATCTATCATTCTATAATGTTATGAAAGTAATATAATTGAAGTATATTCTTTTAATCCAAGTAATATGATTCATTTTTTTCTTTTTTGAAAATTTTATTTTGGGGCAGCTAGGTGGTACAGTAGATAGAGCACCGGCTCTAGATTCAGGAGGACCTGAGCTCAAATCCAGCCTCAGACACAAAACACTTACTAGCTGTGTGACTCTGGGCAATCATTTAACCACATTGCCTAGCCAAAAAAAAGAAAAAAAATTTATTTTATTTGGAACTTAAGAAATCAAACAAGCATTTCCATAACAAAGTAGAATAAAAAAAGATGATTAGACATAAAACTGAAAATCTACTATGTACAACTTGCTATTCCTTTAAAATATATAATAAAGTTGTCATGTAACTTTTTCTTCCTTTTTTCTCCCCCTTAACCCTAGAGATGGTTATCATTAATCACAAATGTGTATATATGTATATATGTGTGTATGCATATATGTATGTATGTATGTATGTGTGTGTATATCTATATCTATATCTATATCTATATCTCTATCTATATCTCTATCTCTATCTCTATCTCTATCTCTATCTATATCTATAAAATATGTAAAACCATTCTAGACATACTTTTTTTCTATCAGTTTATCAGTTTTTTCTCTGGATGCAGACAGCATAGTTCCTTTGTAGTTAATTTAGGTATTTATAAAAGTCAAACTGCTTTAGTCATTCAAAGTTGTTTTTAAAACAATATGATTGTTACCACATGCAACATTCTCTTGGTTCTGCTCATATGATTCGGTGAAAAACTCATATTCGAGTTGACCGATAAACTTCTAATGAAGTCCTATGTTGAGTGCACTACAATGACTTTCAACTCCTCGCTGCCAGATTTTTGTTTCTAATTATACATTAAGATGGTATGGTAGAAAGAGCATTGGACTGAGTAGGCGAAAGGGCAGTCTGGACAAGTCTAGACAAGTAACTTCCTCTTCTCAGTCTCCATTTCTTACTCTTTTAAATGGGTATAATAATATCTACTTCACAGGATTGTTGTGAGGAGAGCATGGTATAGCAGATAAAGCAATGGATTTTGAATCAGGAAAATCTGGATTCCAGTCCTGCCTCAGACACATACTGATTGTATGGGCAAGGCACTTGATCTTTCTTTTTTCTTTTTTTTTAAAATTTAAATTTTTTTTATTTTTTCCACATGCATTTGAGTTAAACATTTTTCTCCCTTTTCCTCCCCCCCACCCTCCCCAAGACAATCTGATATAGGCTTTACATTTACATATCCATTAAACATATTTTCACATTAGTGAAGTTGTAAGTAAAAATTAAAACCAATACGAGGAACCATCAGAAAGATGAAACAAAACTCAACAGAAGGTAAAAATAAGTGATAGCGATTCGACTTCCATAGTTCTTTCTTTGGATGTGGACAGCATTATCCATCCTGAGACCTCTGGAAATGTCTTATATCCTCATAATGCTGAGAAGTGTTCAGTTTAAAAATCTTAGTCATCGCACAATGTGGCTGTTATTGTGTACAAGTCCTCTTGGTTCTGCTCACTTCACTCAGCATCAGACCATATAAGTCTTTCCAGGTTTTTCTGAAGTCAGCCTGTTCATCATTTCTTATAGCACAATAGTATTCCATTACATTCATATACCACAGCTTGCTCAGCCATTCCCCAACTGATGGGCATCCTCTCAATTTCCAATTCTTTGCCACCACAAAAAGAGCTGCTATGAATATTTTTGTACATGTGGGTCCTTTTCCCATTTGTTTGATCTCTTTGGGATATAGCCCTAGAAGTGCTATTGCTGGATCAAAGGGTATGCACATTTTTGTAGCCCTTTGGGCATAGTTCCAAATTGTTCTCCAAAATGGTTGGATCATTTCACAACTCCACCAACAATGTATTAGTTCCAATTTTCCCACATCTCTCCAACATTTATCATTTTCCTGTTTTGTCATGTTGGCCAATCTGATAGGTGTGATGTGGTACCTCAGAGTTGTTTTGATTTGCATTTCTCTAATCAATAACGATTTAGAGCATTTTTTCATATGACTATAGATGGCTTTAATTTCTTCATCTGAGAACTGTCTGTTCATATCCTTTGACCATTTATCAATTGGGGAATGGCTTGTGTTCTTATAAATTTGTCTTAATTCTCTATATATTTTAGAAATGAGGCCTTTATCAGAGAGACTGGTTGTAAAAATTCTTTCCCAATTTTCTACCTTCCTTCTAATCTTAGTTGCATTGGCTTTGTTTGTGCAAAAACTTTTCAATTTAATGTAATCAAAATTATCCATTTTGCTTTTCATAATGTTCTCTATCTCCTGTTTGGTCATGAATTCTTCTGTTCTCCATAGATCTGATAGGTAAACTATTCCTTGTTCTCCCAGTTTACTTATGGTATCAGCCTTTATATCTAAGTCCTGAACCCATTTTGACTTTATTTTGGTATATGGTGTGAGATTTGGGTCTATGCCTAGTTTCTGCCATACTCTTTTCCAGTTTTCCCAGCAGTTTTTTTCAAAGAGTGGGTTCTTATCCCAGAAGCTGGGGTCTTTGGGTTTATCAAATAATAGATTACTATAGTCATTGACTACTGTGTCTTGCATATTTAACCTATTCCACTGATCCACCTCCCTATTTCTTAGCCAGTACCAAGCAGTTTTGATGATTGCTGCTTTATAATACAATTTAAGATCTGGAATTGCTAGGCCACCTTCCCCTGCATTTCTTTTCATTAGTTCCTTTGATATTCTGGACCTTTTGTTTTTCCAAATGAATCTTGTTTATTTTTTCTAACTCTATAAAATAATTTTTTGGTAGTTTGATTGGTATGGCACTGAATAAGTAAATTAGCTTAGGTAGGATTGTCATTTTTATTATATTAGCTCGGCCTACCCATGAGCAACTGATGTTTTTCCAATTATTTAGATCTGATTTTATTTGTGTGAAAAGTGTTTTGTAATTGTGTTCATAGAGTTCCTGGGTTTGTTTCAGGAGGTAGACTCCTAAATATTTTATAATGTCTACAGTAAGTTTAAATGGGATTTCTCTTTCTATCTCTTGCTGTTGGGCTTTGTTGGTAATATATAGAAATGCTGATGATTTATGTGGGTTTATTTTATAGCCTGCAACTTTGCTAAAGTTGTTTATTATTTCAAGTAGTTTTTTACTTGATTCTCTAGGATTCTCTAAGTATATCATCATGTCATCTGCAAAGAGTGATAGCTTTGTTTCTTCTTTGCCTATTCTAATGCCTTCAATTTCTTTTTCTTCTCTTATTGCTAAAGCTAAGGTTTCCAGTACAATATTGAATAACAGTGGTGATAATGGACATCCTTGTTTCACCCCCGATCTTATTGGAAATGCTTCTAGCCTGTCCCCATTACATATAATGCTTGCTGAAGGTTTTAGATAATGCTATTTATTATTTTAAGGAAGACTCCATTTATACCTATGCTTTCTAGTGTTTTTAATAGGAATGGGTGTTGTATTTTATCAAAAGCTTTTTCTGCATCTATTGAGATGATCATGTGGTTTCTGTTGGTTTTGTTGTTGATATGCTCAATGATGCTGATAGTTTTCCTAATATTGAACCAACCCTGCATTCCTGGTATAAATCCTACCTGGTCATAGTGTATTATTCTTGTGATAAGTTGCTGTAATCTACTTGCTGATATTTTGTTTAAAATTTTTGCATCTATATTCATTAGAGAAATTGGTCTATAATTTTCTTTCTCTATTTTGACTCTTCCTGGTTTAGGTATCAACACCATATTTGTATCATAAAAAGAATTTGGTAAGACTCCTTCTTCACCTATTTTCCCAAATAGTCTATATAGTATTGGAATTAATTGTTCTTTAAATGTTTGATAGAATTCACATGTAAATCCATCTGGCCCTGGAGATTTTTTCCTAGGGAGTTCATCAATGGCTTGTTCAATTTCTTTTTCTGAGATGGGGTTATTTAAGTATTTTACTTCCTCTTGGTTAATCTGGGCAATTTATATTTTTGTAAATATGTATCCATTTCACTAAGATTGTCAAATTTGTTGGCATATAGTTGGGCAAAATAATTCCTAATTATTGTTTTAATTTCCTCTTCCTTGGTGGTAGCTTCACCCTTTTCATTCTTGATACTAGTAATTTGGTTTTTCTTTTTTTTTTTTAATTAAATTAACCAAAGGCTTATCTATTTTATTGGTTTTTTCATAAAACCAGCTCTTAGTTTTATTTATTAGTTCAATAGTTTTCTTAATTTCAATTTTATTAATTTTTCCTTTGGTTTTCAATATTTCTAATTTGGTGTTTAGTTGAGGATTTTTAATTTGTTCTTTTTCTAGTTTTTTTAGTTGTATGCCCAATTCATTAATCTCCTCTTTTTCTATTTTATTTATGTAAGCATTTAGAGATATAAAACTTCCCCTAAGAACTGCTTTTGCTGCATCCCATAGGTTTTGGTATGTTGTCTCATTATTGTCATTCTCTTGAATGAAATTATTGATTGTTTCTATGATTTGTTGTTTGACCCAATCATTTTTTAGGATTAGATTATTTAGTTTCCAATTATTTTTTAGTCTATCTTTCCATGGCCCTTTATTATATATAATTTTTATTGCATCATGATCTGAAAAGGATGCATTTAATATTTCTGCCTTTCTGCATTGGATTGTGAGGTTTTTATGCCCTAGTACATGGTCAATTTTTGTGTATGTGCCATGTACTGACGAGAAAAAAGTATATTCCTTTCTATCCCCATTCAGTTTTCTCCAGAGGTCTATCATACCTAACTTTTCTAATGTTCTATTCACCTCCTTAACTTCTTTCCTGTTTATTTTGTGGTTAGACTTATCTAGTAAGGCACTTGATCTTTCAAGTTTCTTCATCCATAAAATGAGGATGTTAGGCTCAATGGTCTATAATATCCTTTCCAGCTCTGAATCCCTGGCCCTATTACTTAATGAGGATCAAATGAGGTAATATATTTGAAATTATTTGCAAACTTCAAAGTAATATATGAATGCCCGTTATTCTTGTTATCAAAATCATTTTTGTACACTGTCTTTTAGTGGCTGTTGGTCATATGATCTAAAGTAGATCCAGCTAATTAGTAAAGGGCCAAGAATGGCAACTTACCTTGCTCACAGTAATTGCCTGTCCAGCCAAGTCCACAGGTACAATTTCCATCTACAGGATTACAAATCCCACCATTTTTGCAGGCACAGGTGAGCTGACATTTGTGGCCATATCTTGCCTGGGGACAATCTGTAACCATATTTTAAAAATTAACACAGTAGAGGAAAATATCATACAGATAACTTTTCTCAGTGAATTAGATGGAGAAACTGCCCAGGATAGTGTCATGGCACAAGGAAATGCATATGAATTTTCTGAAGTGAAGCACACTGGTGCAACGTTGAGGTAGAGATATCAACAGTAAATTAGTCAATAAGCATTTATTGAGCACTCTGTGCCAGGCACTGTGCTACCTTCTGGAAATACAAGGCAATGTAAAAATAGCCTTTATCCTCAAGGAGCTCACAAATAATGGGGCCACAAAATGTAAATGGCTACCTAGGACATCTTCTGTATTTAAAAAAAAAGTGCTTTCTTCACAATACACCTGGGAAGCAGGTAGTAGAAATATGATTATTCCTATTTGACAAAAGAAATTAAGCTTTGGCGAGGTTAATGGACTTGCCTTGGTTGTGGATGCAGTATGAATTGGTGATAAGATTCAAACCCACAAGACCTACCCTCCTGACATGCTCAGATCTCTTTAAATTACACTGTCATGCCACTAAGTAGATAATATTGTGTTTATGCCCAGTCTTGACTGGGCAGCTTATAAGCTTCCTGTAGCAATGATAGATAAAGATTAAAATAAAAAGAGGGACCTAGGCAGTGTGATGGAGCCAGGTTGATCTGGCTTCTAAGACCTGATTGTTAAATTTTTTGGTGTGAGTGTTAACATCTCAGAAATGGACAAATACTGTAAATTAGGGTTTGATTTATTGTTTTATTGCTTGCCAAGACTTTAAGAAAGTGATGGAGAAAATTTTAATGATGCAGATTAAACTTTAAGTGTATTGTGCTTTTCTAGAGAGCTGGTTGTTAAACTTTTACCAGCATATCACTGAATCTTGGGGCATGGGTCATTGGGTTCCTTGGTCAGTCAGAAACATGGCTGAAAATCTGGCATTAGCTCTTAGTGCTGAATGAAACAAGGAAGGCAGACAACTTTCTAATAACATTTTCAGGTAGTAACTTAGCACATACGTGACTTGACTCTCTGTCCTACAGCCACGACCGTTTCCTAACACTTAAAAGGTTAGCTATTTGTGAAACTACAATGAAATCCCAGATAGATGAAGCTTGGACTATGTTTGATAAGTGGTCCTTCATAGTTTTTTTTTAAATAACTATAATCTGAGTAAATAAAAAAATACTACATTGTCACAATAAACCAAATTTTGTTAGTTTGTCCTCCACAATTCATAGACCACAGTTTGGACTGGAGATTTTATCTTCTTGACAAGTCCATGGGAGATACTTTGGTCAAGAAAAGTCTTTACACCTAAATTTGCCTTATTTAGTCAAATGGGACTTAATAGCAGAAAAGAAAAAAGGCACACAGGCAGATTGTATACTCTTTCTCTCTGGAGCTGTTTACTATAGAAAAATCTATAAAGATTTGCCTGCTTCCTTCTTTTTTTTTCATCAAGGACACTCCAGTTAAGTGTGTAAAAAGTATTGAGATCCCTATAGGGTGTATAGGATCTTAGAATCATAGATTCAGACCTAGGAGGACCTTGGAGGCCATCTGGGCTCATTTTAAGAGGAGGAAACTAAAGCCGATAGAAGTGAGGTTTCTTGCCTATGATCATACAGATAATAAGCAGAAGAGCCACTTTTAAAGCCAGGATTGGAATCCAGGTCATCTACTTCAGAGTGGAGCCTTGCTCTTGGAGTATTGACAAAATATTCTCTTCATGGTATTGGAATGAATAGTCTCAGCAACTTGACAAGGACAAAAGATGGGATTTTTCATTTGTATGGAAGATAATGCCCCAGGGAAGCTATGGACACACCCACTGATAACCCAACTGCACCAATTAATTGTAATAGCTACTGATGATTTAGGCTTCTCCTTGGAATAAGGATTATACATGGAGAGCAGACAGATCAGTAGACTAGATTAAAGAACAAGAACTGAGCTGAGCTAAGTGTGTGTGTGTGTGTGTGTGTGTGTGTGTGTGTGTGTGTGTGTTACGCCTTAGCCTTACACAAGACTGGCCAGAGGGGTTTTTGAAGGAGGAATAGTTTAGCTTCAAGAGAGGATTCCCCACATGGCAGCAGTTTGAAGCAATGGTGGAACATTAAGAACTCCTGAACTGAGCCTTTTAGAGAGAAGAGCTACTTTGTTGCCTCAGAGCTAGAGGGGTAGCAAGGGACTGAGACATTATGCACCTTCCCCAGCTGCCATGGTTCTTGTGGGAATTGGAAGCGGGGTGGTGGACAGTTTAGCAACCTTAAGTAAAATTCCATGCTGGAATAGTTCCAGACCTCAGGATAGTACTCTAATTCTAGGTTCTTGGGGGAGAGAGGAATTAACTGAAGGGTAATAGGGTGTTTTTCTAGATCGCACACACATTTTATTTCTGGAGAGTCTCAACCAAAGGGTGGTGTTATATGTCTGAAGGATGGCATAGATCACTAAGAGGATGGAAAAGCTAGGAACTACCAGGAAGTGAAAGAGAATTGTCCTTCAGCGTTTGAGGTCTCCTGTGAGTCCCTCATGTTGTGCGTGGTAGAATAAAGACAGTCTTGAATCTGATATATATTAACTTGAGTGCTTGCACTGGAAACCTAAGGACCTTTTGCTCCTATCTGTAGAAACCTAAAAGCAGAAGTGTTGTGATGTCTCTGGGGAGGCCCACGGGTAGGGGCCAAATGAACCAAATTCTGATATTCTGGGTGGAGATGTGAATCAAAGACAATGATTTATGAGAATCCCTCCCACCAACTGAATGTGGTAAATATAAGTCTAGACTATAAGTTTCTGTTATTTTCATGCAGGATAATGTAATCTGCTTGAGGATAAGGATTGTGTTTTTTTTTTTTGTAGTCTTTGTATTTTTTTGTTGGAAGTTCCTTGTAGCAGTGGTCCAGTTTAAAAACAACTAAAAATGACTTTGTGTCCCCTGATCTTAGCATAGTGTTTAATAAATGTGTATTGGATTAGATTGGGTTACATATGAATTGTCATTATCAGAAGGCTGCTAATAAGGAAATAAATAAGTAAATGTGTTTATAGTTGCCAGTCTTCTTAATTATCTCTTCTAGGTCCTTGATGGTTTGAATTCTTCCCATTTTTTTTTTTAGATATCATGATAATCCTGAATGGTCTTCAAAATTGTACTATCTCCAGTATGGAGTCTCTCTCTGTTTACTTGGTATATGGTCTATGCTCTGTTCCTGGCTTTGTCTTTTGACAAAGTTTCATTTCCTTTTAAAACACATTGATTACTAAAGTGTTAGAGTTCAAATGTAGTGATTTGATCATCGTCCATCACAAACAAAGCAACATTAGGAAATCTCTCTTCTATTTTTGTATTTACTTATTGTCTTCCTTTCATTTTCACATATAAATGTTCTTGGGGTGAAGTGGCTTATTTGGGTCTTGAGCCAGCCTTTCTTTCAGATGCATTTTCTCTCCCACTGTTTGTGAGATGATACCATTTTCAGTGTTATACTATTCTCCTGTGCAACATTTTGCAAATGAGTTTACATTCTAAAGTTGTGTTGACTTTGGCTGCCATGACTCTGTGCTTGGCAAGGAGTTCAAGTGCTTCCTGGCTAAGACGGTTTAGAGGCTTTTTTGGCCTCTTTTGCAGAGTGACTATTTAATATTGATTTAATTTCTTTCAGAAGTGATTGCATCAGAGTCAAAGTTATTTAACTTTGCCCATTTTCCATTCTTTACCATCAATAACTCATTTAGATGGGTCAGATGGGAAGTGTTGAAATTGTATCCATCTTCTCATCTTTATTCTTTCTTCTAATTTGTTGTTGATTTTGGTCCTTGCTTTATCAAGTTAATCGGGCTGTATGATGACAGCTCATTGAGAAATGACTCCCATACTGGTAACTAATTGTATTTAACCTGATAAGATATAGTCAAATTTAGTTTTTCCTTATATTGTTTGGTGTGACCTTAGCAACATGAATTGTCACATTGATTATAGGTGGGGATGGCAAAAATTGTTAGTAAACATCATTGAGAATCAATGAGTGAAAAAGGTAAGGACTGGTAGATTCTTCAGAAGCTTTACACCAGTATAGCATGAATACTTTCTTAAAGAAAGGCCCTGGAATATCTTTGAGGCTCTCTCCTGGGCCCTCTTCTCTTTTACTCTATTCTGTCTTACTTGCTGATCACATGAGCTCCCATGAGTTTAATGAAAATCTCTATACAGATGACTCTAAGATGTATATATCTAGCCATTAGTCTATCCAAAGTAATAGGAAGCCATGGGAGTTTACTGAGGTGGGGGAGGTGGAGGTTACATGGGCAAGCCTCCATATTAGAAAACTCACATTGCCAATGAAGGATGTATTGGAGTAGGGAGAGAGTTAGGGTAAGTAGACCAAATGGAAGGCTATTTATTATAATATTTATGTAATAATATAGTTATAATAATTGTAATTTATATAATACAACATTATTATAATAGATTATAAGAATCTGACTTGGAGGAGTAGAGAGGACAGGTTGTGAAGGTAGACATGACAAAGTCTGGTAATGTTTTAGATATGTGGGCTGAAGGAGAGTAAGGGGTCAAAGTGCAACCCTAAGTGACTGGGGGGAAGGTGGTTGTTTGAGATAAAACATGATGAGCTCTGTTTTGAACATGTAGTGTTCAAAGGGATCCCTGTGTAAAACCCATTTTGATATGTCCCCAAGACAGTGCTATTGTATTGTGGTGAGATTGGGAGAAAATAAGTGGACAGATCAATGTGCTTACATGTTCCCTTGCTGTATCGTTTAAGGCAACAAGGAAACAAACCAATGAAAATATCCTATCTATTGGTTGCACTCATGAGGGGGCAATTTACTAAAAGATGTGGACAAGAATTACACGATGAGACTTCTTGGAGTGTTTGACATTGACCCTGATGGAGGTAGTATTGGCTCTTATCTACATGCTTCTATCCACAGAATTGAGCATGGGCGCACCCACTTAAAATTTTATAAATAGCACCCAAACGATTATCTGGTAATTTCCTATTAAATGAAAAGATTTATGATTTTGTTACATGCTCTTCAAAGTATTGTCTCCACTGTCAGACTTGGGTGACGCATTGTTTCATTTTGTAGAATTGCTTCTCTCCTCCCTTTTTGGTTTTCATTTTTAGTTACAAGGGATAGCTCTTCAGGGAGAAGAGGAGAGCACAATGAGAAGACTATATTTGTAGCTGAAAATAATTTTAAAATAAAATATATAAATAAAAAGATTGGTGTTTATAAATGACACAATTGATTCTGGTTACATGGAATTGGAAAGGTTTTGCATAAACAAAATAATGTAAGTAGGATGAGAAGAGGAATAATTGAGTGGGGGAAAAAAATCTTTGTACCAAGTATTTCTGATAGAAACCTGATGTCCAAGATAGTCTACTAACGGGAATATCTAAGACCAAAAGCCATTCCCCAATGGATAAATAATAAAAAGATACAAACAAAAAGCTCTCAAAAAGATACTTGGAAGACATGAACAACCACATGAAAGGAGGCAAAAGATAAAAAGAAAGCTTTCTTATATGCCTGAATATTAATAGGTTACAAAGTGCATGTTCATAGATTATGGGACAGTTAAACAAGTTATGATAGATGAATTTAGTGGGACATTACTGTCATGTAAGAAAGGATGGATGTGAAGAAAACAGAGAAATATTGAGAGATTGATTTGATGAAAAGTGATATGGGCGGAAACAGGAAAGTAACATATAGAATGTAGATGGAAAGAACAATAACAAGGAAACAATTGAAACTGAATTCTGTGAAATTATAAGGACCAAGGTTGGCTCCAAAGAAGGTATCTATGGAGGCACTTTCTCTTATTGTTTTTGAAGACATGGGGAACCTTGGGTGTGGAATCCTGTGACTAAAGTCAGGCTCCTTCAACAAGCTTATCACAGAGCCTGGTGCACAGTAGGTGCTTAATAAATGTCTATTGATTAATTAATTGATTGTTGGTTGGTTTTGATGAGTCATTTTCTTCCCCTCTTTTTCATTCTTTGTTATAAGAGATTGCTTTCTGGAAGAGGGAGGAAGGGTATAATAGGAAATGTAAATGATGTAAAAACAAAAATACGTTTTAAAAATTCAATCAAAAATTAAAGTGCAGCTTCACAGGATTAAGTATTTTACCATGTTTCCCCCTTCCCCCAAGAAGAAACCATTATAAATAAGAACAATGTATTTACTTTCCTTGGCTCCCAAGCTACCTTTATGTTTCATTTTGCTATTCCCTGGTCAGACAAGGTGACCTTGTATACCTCATTCTCTTGCTTTCCTGACAGCTGGGTCCACTATGCCTAGGCAGACACAGGCACCATCCAGTCTTTGGGTCACCCTGCCCTGGGCCACAGAAGCACAACAGGGCACAATTTCTCCCATAGTGATTTTCAGGACAAACTACAGTGAAAACAACATGAGCAGATTTTTCTCATTAAAACATTCTGGTGGTCAATGGACATTTTTTTAAAAAACTTTGTAATACAAGACCCCTTCTTTTAATCAAACAGCCTTTTCTGACTTGCCTTCAGTTCAGCTTTGAGTCTAAAAAAGTTGCTTTCAAAAGGAAAAGAAATTGTTCAAAGCTTTGCTTATTTTTTCATAGCAATTTGGGTTGATGTTAGGAATTTCCAAGCAAACACGTAGTGTCGAAATGCTTTGACTAGAAATCTCTCTTGCAAGTCAGGAGCCTCAAACGGTCCAAATTTAGATTGAAGCTCACCTTTTCAAAATGTACTTATTCTTCTTTAGTGTAGAAAGCACTGGATCTGGAACCAAATTCAGAGGTCAGATCCTGGTTTGACCACTCAGTTCCTATGTGATCTTGAGACATTCATTTAACCTCCAAGGGTCTCAGATTCCTCATCTCTAAGATGACAGGACTGGATCAGATGGCCTCTGAAGGACTTTCCAGCTCTCAACCTTGACCCCAAAATGGTTTCCTTAGAAGTCTAGCTTGCTTGTACAAATACCAAGACAGGACCTTATTGTAAGCTGATCTTCATTGCTGAAACCAAGGAGAGAACACTCTATGTGTGGAAGACTTACAGGCTCAGAATTATTTTCACCGGCTATTACTTGTAAATCGGTTGATAAATATTCTTCAGTGTTGTGTGTCTTCTTGTTCCCCACAAAACCAGCACTTGGCATGGTGCTTGCCATAAGCACGATACCGTCATATATTAGCCTAAGAAGTCACTTAGCAATGACTCTCATATCTGATAAATGAGGAAAATGAGGCCCTGCTGTGACTTGTCTAAGGTCTCATAGCTGGCTGGTAGAAAAGTAGGACCAGAATTCAAGTTCTTTGGTGCATCTACCATGCCATACTAACTTCCTACAGAGTGGCTATAACATGATATGTCAATGGTTCAGACATCATTCCTAACTGTATTGTGGATAATTTAGATAAACATGCTGGTTATTTTCTAATGCATTCCATTAAATTACAAAAAAACCCTCAGCATTTATTGTTATCATCATCACCATCATCGTTAGTATTAATATTATTGCTATTATTAAGTGTAAGGTACTGCAATAGTTACCAGGATACAAAGACAAAAAACCCAAACAAACGTGCTTGCCTCCAGGCAGCTTACATTCTACTTATATTGTATCCCCATGGCTTAGCTATATAATTGTCCTTGCTTCCCATATGTTTGATAAATGGAGATAGGACAGTGTCTCAATAGAGTCCATGTACAGTACATATTAGAGGTTCAAAAGTGAATATTTGTTGAATTGAAAATGAACACTCAATTTAACTCCGCATGCATTTATTTAGTGCTTCCTATGCAGCAGGTGTGGAATATGAAGACAAAGAGCTGTCACCTCCTTCCTGCAAGGAGCTGACAGCTTATCTGGAAGGAATCAATGTGTGTACAGAGAAGGTAAATAGGAAATATGGGACAAAGTCTGTGACTTCATTAGTACAAGAACTCTTGGTTGAGGAAGCTTCTTATACCAAGGCATTGACATCTTCTCATCAATCTATTATCTAATGAGGTGCCTGGAGCACAGCAACACTCTCAAACATGACCAAACCAGATTAAAATGTAGTTGGGAAACATTGAACAAAATAAATAAAAATGCGATAGAACCTGGATGATGTTAATATGTGATTTTCTACACCAATCCGCATAGTTTAGTGGCCCTACTTTCTGCTTGAGCTTGATACTACTGGTTAGTGCACTGAGAGGTTAGGGGTGTTGTGGGAGGTCTCAAGGCCAGCAAGTGTCAGAGGGAAAATCTAAGGCCAGGTCTTCCTGGTTCCGAGTCCACCACACCAGGCTGCTCATCTGAAGAAAATATAAGGCACTATTTATCTTCAGGTGTGAGGGAGAACTCTATCACCTTGGGACATCAGGAAAAACCTAGTGGGAATAAAAGCTAGAGATGAGTATAGAAGGGACTGAAATTACAAGAGGTGGAGGATTTCAAGCACAGGGTAAAGAGATGAGAAGTGGGATGTGTACAGTTTTATTGTGGAGTCTTTTTCCAGTTGTGTGCAACTCAGTGTGACCTCATGTGGGGTTTCCTTGGCAGAGATAGTGGAGTGGTTTGCCATTTTCTCCTCTAGCTCATTTTACAGATGAGGAAACTGAGGCAAACAGTTAAATGCCTTGCCCACAGTCACACAAGTAGTAAGTGTCTGAGGCTGGATTTGAACTCAGGTCTTCCTGACTCCAGACCTAGCACTCTATTCGCTGCCCTTTGTGTACAGCTAGTGTGCTAATTTAGCTGATTGAAGAATGTGTGAGAGGGAATGAAGTATAATGACACAACTAAGACAGAGGAGAGCCAGATCATGAAAGGCTTTGAACCCCAGAAGTATTGATATTTTATCCTTGGGGCCATTGGGAGCTGGTGAAGTGTGTTGATCGGAGAGTGACATGGCTAATCTGGACTCTAGAAATAATCATCTTGGTAGTTTTCTGAAGGATGAATTGAAGAGGGGAGAAGGTTGAGTCAGGGAGACCAGGCAGTAGTATTGCAATAGTCAGGTAGGAGATGAGGCTCTCAACTTGTATGATGGCTTTGTGAGCAGAAAGATAACAAAGTGAGAGGGGCTGGGGATTAGAATCCACAAGCCTTTGCAACTAGATCTCATCAGATCTAGCAAGGCATAATTTTCTTTTGTCCTTTTCCTTGTCCATTCAAAACCCAAACATATTTTTAGGGAAATTGGATCTGCCTGCCCCTGACCACTCTCACTTAAGTCAATGGTTGTTCAGTCATCTCAAACTGAAGTCTCTGAGTTTTTTGGAACAGCTTTCTTTGAGCTGGGAAATTGTTTTGGGGAAGTGAAGCTATGATATTGAAAATGAGTTTGAAATTTTGAACCCAGGCAACCTCAGTTGGGTGGGATCTTGGCCAATCCATTTTCCAATCCTGAGTCTGACCCAGCTCTGTAGGAGTGGGAGGTTCTGGGACTAGAACTCTCTCTTTGGCTGGCTTCCACAGACTCCAGCTTTAAATCAAGTTCTGACAAAAGGAATACTCACCCTGAGATTTGGGTCAGTGTGTGTTTGTTTGCACTGCAGTAAATTATCAAATACAATAGCTGGGGCATTGTTTTTTCTGCTAACTGAAACTCCTAAAGTCTCTCATTCAAAGCTGGCCTTGGCTAAGGGAGTAAGCTGTCCTGGCAAGATGCAGTTAACCCCTCCAGTACCACTTCCAGTGACTTACCCTGACCACAGTCTGTGCCAGTGAAGCCAGGGGGGCAGTCGCAGGTGCCAAGCAGGGGGTCACAACGGCCTCCATTCATGCATTTACACATCTTGTGGCAGTAAGGACCATAAGTGCCGTCTGGGCACCCTGTTGAAAAAAGAACAAAACCACATGTTACACTGTTTCTGGAAGCCAGCCAGTGTCTCATTTCATGTTCTTGGGCACTCAGTTACTTAAACATTCTAAGAGATGGCTCATTGGGTATTTCTGGTCCTGCTTAAGTTATTCCCACTGAGATCCAACTTTTTTTTTTTTTTTGGTCAGGCAGCTGTCTCAGAGATTCAAGTCAATACAGTGAGTTTTTATTAAGTACCTACAGTGTGCCAGGCTCTGTGATAAGGGCTGGGGATGTAGAGGTAAAACAAAGCAATGCCTGCCCTTGAATAGCTTAGATTCTATCAAATGTAAGCAGCAGCTTATCCCCCAGCCATTGCTCAAACGCTCTCCCTCCTTCCCTTCTCTCTGTTAGAATTCCTAGGTTCTTCCAGAGCACAGTTCAGGTACTGACTTTTATACAAGACCTTTCTTGTTCTCCCAGATATTCATTATCTCTCTTATAACATTAATTTATACTGACTTATCTGTATATGTATTATCTCTCAGTAAAATGTAAGCTCCTTGAGCATAGGAACTGTTGTGGGTATAAAATTAAACTGAAGGCAAACCTTCCCCCTCCTCTGCATCCCCCGTTGAAGTCCTCCTTGCACACTATATATGGTTTGGTATCTACTCTGGGTTCTTAAGACTACACCAGCTGAATGGAATCTCTGGTAGCGTCTGCCATGTTGGAATGCCCTTATGTATATAAGCAGCACTGGACTATGTGTTTGCTGCTAAGGACAAGTCCAGCAAAGTCAATAGAAACGGGCTCACTGACAGTTTAGTTACAAAGTAACTGAGGCAGGTCCCAAAATTGTCCAACCAAGGGACTGTGATCTGTTCCAATGGAAAGGACATTAGTCCCACTGAAACCTCAAATCCTTGAAGCATGGGAGTATAGGAGGCGACAGGCAGAGGATCTCTGATGTTACTCACCAACCCTCTATGTTTCTGTCGAGCTTAGATTAGAACCCTAACTAAATTCAATACAAAAATCCTATTTTGTTTAAAACAACAACAACTACAACAGGGATGATGGTCTACAAAGAAATCTGTTCTCGTTGAAAACTAGAACAAAAAAGTTGTCTGGGCATTATCTAGGTCCCTACTGTAATGGTTCAAAGTACCTGGTAGCCCTTGCCACAGAGGCCCATAGTACTTGGTTGGGATAACCAAGTCTTTCTCGACTCATTATCCCACTTTGTATTAGAACTGTTTGTCTCTGTGCTTGTGCGATTCAAGTGTTCCTTTCCATGAACCCTAATGAGATAATGTCATGACTGGCTGTGATTAATCATGCTGGAATGCTTAATCCCCCATGGACTGTTCCTCAATGCTGTCAACTCTAAGAATTGATATTTTTGCCACCTCCTATTTTTTACAGTTGAATAAAAATCCTGCACCTGCAGGTCACCATAGACTGGACAGTGGGTCCTGAACTGTACCTGATAATCACCTGCATGATGAATGAGGTAGATAGGGTAGGCAGTACTTTTGCAGGTGAGGAAAATGAGGCTCAGAGTGATCAATCATCTTGGCCAGGGTCACACAGCTTGTAAGTGACAACACTGGAAGCTAATCTCTGTTAACAAGTAGGGAATCTCTAGAGATGGCAGCATGGAAGAAATTACGGCCACCAACAACTGGGGAATGCCCTGAAGTGGCAGGATGCCCCACAGGAAGAAATATAGCCACTGAGGACAAGAAAGGCAGTGGGATATACTGCTAGACAGGAGAGATCAAGGTAGATGGAGGGTGTAAGTAGAAGACAGGGAGAGTGGAGACAAGGTAGAGAACATCTCTCTGAGTTGGAGGAGGGAAAATTCACCTTTTATGAACTTTTAAGATGTTTCTGCTGCTGGCCCTGTGATTCTACCCATATTTCCCAGCCTGGAAGAAATTATTGTAAGGCAGGAAATCTGGGTGCTATCATAGGTAAGATGCTTGTACAGGGCTAGGTGAATGGGGGGAAATTTCTCTCTCTTGTACTTTGCATTCACCCCTGCAATGGGCATATTAGATAATTCTGTGTATCTCCTGCTGGGTTGGTCCATTTGGCATCAGCAAAGAGGAAAATTATTCTTTCTTTTATTCCTAGAAGAATTGGAAGCAAGGAGTTGGAGTTATTTGCTTATCAGATAAGATGATGTAGGAAAAGAACTCTGCACACCTAAAGTGCTATCAAAAGCACCAGCTAGAATAATTAGGTCCAGAATTGTGGTTCAGATCACTTCTGCTATCTTCTTTCTAATCACTGTAACAGACAGGCAAGTCAATTAGTCTAATGTGGAGCCAGGTGCACTAGCCCCAGGTGACCTGATTTAGATTTCCCATGCCTGAGGGTGTGGTTGGGGAATCTGCCCATCTCCACTCTCCAAGGCTGATATCTGGAGAAGAGGAGAAGTCAGCCTGGGTCTTCAATGGCTAAGTCCAGTGCTCTTTTAACTGTACTTCTGGGAATGTAATCGTGACACTTCTTTCCATTATTTCAGTGGGAATCAGGGAGAACGAGGCTGCTTGGTTCATCTCTGATGGTTCTTTTTTGTGTTCATCCAATGCAGCAGATCCAGTGAGGGCATTCGCCATGTGCCCCTGATACTCCAATTCCTTCTTTTCAGCTGCCTACCTGTGCTGCCTTTTCTCATACTTTTCCTAAATTTACTTTTTTATTTCTAGGTACACATTTTCTATCATGATGTTAACTCAGTACAAACAGGGGAGTCATCAAGTTGTGAGATTCCATCCCAGCAGTGGAAATGATGCTGTTGCTAGCCCCTCTGTCTACATTTGTGGGTCCAACTTTTCTCTATACCAATGTATTTTGAGAGTTCCATCCCTGTCCTGGTGCAGGGGGGTGAGGCATGGCCTTCCATTGGATACAGACCACCTATCAAATGACCAGACATCTTCATTAGGGAGCACTCCAATCATTTATCACTGCCACAATCTTCTTTTCCAACCTTATCACTAATGACTCCCCTTTGTATAGTCCTATGTTCCAAACAAATCAGATGACTGAAAATTATTCAAACACACATTGTGTTTTATCTCCTTCATACTTTTGTTCACATCGTTCTCTCTGCTAGAAAAATATCTTTAGGTTCCATCTGTTCCCCTACCACCCATCTTTCAAGATTTGACTAAAATATCATCTCCTTTGATTAAGGCGCTGCACACGTCTTCTCCTCCCCAACTCTGCCTTCTGCTTTTTGCCCATGTATCATCATTGTGCCATAGCTCTTTATGCAGTACTCTGTAGCTTCCAGGGCTCAGGAACACTTCAGAAATGGTTTTCTCACTTTTGCCAGCTCAAATTATCCCAGCCTGAAAACCAGGAAAGACATCTCCACAATTTTTGGTGTTGCTCTTCAGTTGCTTTTCAATCATGTCTTAACTCTTTGTGACCCCATTTGGGGTTTTCTTGGCAGGCATACTGGAGTTGTTTGCTGTTTCCTTCTCCAGCTCATTTTACAGTTGAGCAAAGTGAGGAAAACAGGGTTAAGTGACTTGTCCAGGTCACACAGCTAATAGGTGTTTGAGACCATATTGGAACTCATCAAGATGAGTCTTCCTGACTTCAAGTTTGGCACTCTATCCACTGTGCCCAATAGATACTTCTCCAGTATTTGGAAACTGACTCCTCACTTGTTAAGTATAGAGTTCACTGTATTATAAAAGTATTATTTAAAGGAGGAAAACAAAGCCTTCAATGAATAAACGTTACTATCCCAAATCTCTTGATGTCCTCAGAGACTTAAATATGACAGACTCTTGTTAAGTGTTGCCCTTGCCCTTTACTCTCTTTTGTTCAAAATGTTCAAACTCTCCTCTCCTCTCCTCCCCTCCCCTCCCCCCCTTCTCTCCTCTCCTCTCCTCTCCTCTCCTCTCCTCTCCTCTCCTCTCCTCTCCTCTCCTCTCCTCTCCTCTCCTCTCCTCTCCTCTCCTCTCCTCTTCTCTCCTCTCCTCTCCTCTTCTCTACTCTTCTCTCCTGTCCTCCCTTACCCTCTTCTACCCTCCTCTTCTTTCCTCTCCTCTCTCTCTCCTTTCCCTCCCACTTCTCCCTTCTCCTCTCCTTTCATTTTCCAACAGTTAACATTCTCCCTCCCCACCCATTTACCCCTCTACATACCTAGTGGTTTCTATAATTCTCCTAAATGAAGGGTTTTAACCATTTTTATATCAAGAACCCCTTTGGCAGTGTGATGCAATCTATGGACCCCTTCTCTGATTAATGTTTCTAAATGAAAGATATTTAGGATTACAAAGGAAACCAATTACATTGAAATAGTAGCTATCAAGCTATTTTTTAATTTTTTTTAAAAAGATGGATTCCCTTGGGGGCAGCTAGGTGGTGCAGTAGATAGAGTGCTAGCCCTTGAGTCAGGAGGATCTGAGTTCAAATCTGGCCTCAGACACATAATACTGCCTAGCTGTGTGACTCTGGGCAAATCACTTAACCCCAACCGCTTCACCAAAAAAAAAAAAAAAAGGAGGGATTCCCTACAGATCAAAATTTCTTAGCCTTTTTTGTGTCACAAACTCTTTTGGCAATCTTGAGAAACTTATGAACCCACCCATTCTTTCAACTCTGTGTTTATAAATACATAAAATAAAATTCATAGTGTTACAAAGGAAACAAATTCTATTGAATATGGTTGTCATAATATTAAAAAAAGAAAAAGGAAGGTAAGAATCCCTATTCTAAATCAGGCCTCTACTATCTTGTAAGTCTCGCAGTTCACATCTTCATTCAATCCTGTGATTTTGGTTCTTTCTCTGAATTACAGACTGTTTACAGGTGCAAACACAATGCTAATTTCTTTCTTCTCTTACCTAGGGCTGTCCCTCCCTTCAACCCCTGACAATTATGGAGAAAGAAAGCTCAATATGAGGAACAATTCTATAAGTCAAAGACAATTATTTTTCCTCATGCAGCTATCAGAATATTTTGAGTTGTAAAAGAAGCCAGCCAAATCACTTCCCAACCT